AAAAAAAATCAACAGTAACATATTAACAAACACACACACACATACACACACACACACTTAAGTAGAATGATTGATTGATTAGATATATTTTGAATAAGATCAATAATATGAATTTCATAATACTTCTGATGACATATTTAAAAAAAAAAAATATTACTCATTATAATTATAAAAAAAATTGTGATTAGTTTTGTTATCATCTCATGGTTGTAGATATGAATTATGATAATCAATCAAAAACACTTAAATATAATAAAATAATAAAAATGATTATGTTTGAATTATATTAGCTTAATGAATGATTTAAAATATTAATAACTTTTATAAAATATAGTCAACTTAACCATGAATAAATTAAAATCTAATGAATATATATTAATAAATTATCTTTTCATAGTCGGGTAAAACTAAGAATTATAATTTTCACATTAAAATATCTATATACACAAAAAATAATATTCAGTGTGTTAAAAATAAAATGTTTATTATATACGTTTTATGAAGAATAATGAGTAAATAAAATTCTATAGTCAAATAATAATTGAAATTATAAGATTTTATAGTCATTGGAATATAAAATTATTAAATTTTCTTATTAATTAAATTATTATATATGTTGAGTTAAATGAATTAAATAAATAAATAGATACAAAAAATATTAAAATACAAAATAAATTATTTACCATGAAAATTTTGCATTGCACAAGAGATAAAAGTTACTAAAAATTAAAAGTTATTCATCATAAGTTAGTATTTCATGCAATTAGAGTGATTATAAATAAAAATCAATAATATGGATTAAACGTTGACCAGTTATCTAGCAATATGCAAAATGAATTGCTAAAAAAAATTATAAGATTATTATAATCAATAATTATATAAGTATATGCAAGTAACTGGTATACAATCATTATTTTATAAATTTTACATTTTTATAATATTTTATTTGATCTCACTGACACCATGTTCAAGAAGGTGAGGTATTTAAATAAATATTATACTATTACAGACTTCATATGTTGGGTCGAATAGAATTGACATATTATCTTAAATAATTTAATAACATTTAATACAAATATTTTTTTTTATATTGTATTCCGTGCATCGCACGGGTAGCAACACTAGTATATATAAACCACTAATTTTTTATTATTTTTTGCCCATAAGTTAAATCCTAAGAACAGAGTTTCCATAAACTAATCAAGTACACTTTTGGCGGAAATTTTATTTTTTTACACTAATCAAATATTTCTATTAATATATAAAACTATTTTTACTGAATTTTTGTTTTACTAAATATGAAAATTATGCCGCTGTAATTTTCTTTTCTTTTATTAGCATCTTCTAAATTTATTGAAATATATTTATTTATTGGTTTGTTTGATTTTCACAATACATCAATTGAATATAAGTATAGGAATATCCTTTCATTCAAAATCTATCAACCTTCTTTAAAAAACATAAAGAACACAAATTTTTACATTTATAATATTTATTGTAAGATTAATTGAACTGAATTAGAAGAAATTGTTAACAATATATACTGACAATTATAACCACTTATCTCAGGTTATTGAGACGATTTGTTGCAATTGTACAGAATGTGAGTATGATTTTATTTAATTTATTTTAATCATCATAACATCGTTTGTTTATATAATTTAACAACTTATTAATAACATGTCATATACATATTGATCAATTTATAATATAATTTCTATAATAATATATGGTAATCGTAATTCAAACGATAGAAGCCCAGAATAATACAGAGGAATTTACACTCTGTACCAAACATTATTTTTATATTATAGATATACATTCAATATATATTTATTTACAAACCTATCACATGTACCTTAATTATATCTGTATATACCTGATTTTTAATATCTGACAAATTATAGAATGTTATAATTAATGAGTAAAGAAACCTCTCATATCCAATTTCACGTTTGGCAACGCTGGTCTCCTTCACCTTCGAGATCCGCCAAACCGCGTGGAACCCTAACAAGAAGATGAGGCTCGCGTCAACTGCGCTAATGCCTCTGCCATGTCCACGGTGTCGGTTTCCGACGGAAATGAAAGGTTTTTGCCGCCTCTGAGTGAACGAATTGACGGGAAGTGCAGAAGGTGGGTGTGGAGAGGGTATGCCGTTAATTACTTTGTCTATCCACAAATCGATGGCGATGTTGCTGGTGTGAGCCCTCCGCTCCTTCTGGTTCATGGTTTTGGCGCATCAATTGCTCATTGGCGCAGGTGTATGGAATTTTATTTTTGGTAAAAAGTGCTTCACTTGGATTTACGAACAAGTTAAGTTTGATGAAATTGTTCTTAATAGCTTCAAAAGGGGGTGTTTCATTTTTTTTTTCATGATTTGATTTGAAATTGTTCTTCTATTTTTTGGTACGGAAAGACTTCTGTTTGAACGGGATTGCCATTAATTCTTCTTTCGGTCAAATAAGTCTTTGTTCTGGAGCTTGTAAATGACGTTATTGATGGGAAGATTCTGGCGAGTAGAGCGGGGAAGACGGTACTTGAGTTGGATCCGTCGAGAGTCGTCGGCGACCTCAGGCAGCATGCGGTGGACATCAGCGACTTTCAGACGGCGTGCACCGAAGATGATACGCCCTTTTTAAACTTGTTTTACCCTTTCTTTTTTTTTTTCTTTAACCCACGACACGAGACAATCGGCAGTATATGTTGCTTGTATACAGTGACGGAGCTAGGATTTTAACTCAGGGGGCCCGATTTGAAGTGTTAAATCACGAGTTTGTAGTTTACGTAGACACGCTCATTTCATATAAAGTTTTGTTTACTTATAATTATAGATATTAATATTTTTACCTTCAAGTTTTTATAAGAACTTAGAACCGTATCACCATCAAACTTTTTTTTAAGAAAAAAATGAGATTTCGTGTATTAATAATTTAAGTTTAAAATCTATAATTTATGAAAAATAAGTTTTATTTGTTCAAAATTTAATTTAATTTGAACACATTGCATATAATTTTTGTTGATTAGAGCTTATCAAATGACTATTTTTTTAATAAAAATTAAATAAAGTTGTATGTGATTACATAAAAAAATAATAAAGTAAAAAATCAATATTCAAATATACAATCGATTAGTCGATTGTATATAAACAAAAGCCCATTAGTCGATACTTCTGCTGGGCCTCTTAGAAGCCCAATTGGGGAAATTCGCAGCTCTTTAATCTATCGCTATCAAATTCGTAGGTCGCAGCTTGGATAGCAGCAAGGATTTGGTGTTTTGCTCGTTGTGGATTTCAAGAAAAACAGCGGAAAAAAGGGGACGATAGAGAGATCGGAGCAATGGTCCTGGGTGGTCTTATGAAGGGTGAGCCGCTGGTGGCGAAGCTGGCGGCGGCGGCCAGGTACGGCGTCCTTCCGGCAGCCATGATCGCCGCCCTCGTTTACTCTCCTCCCGATTTTGTTTCGACCAAAAAACCGGCTAATTCAGGATCCTAAGTTACTTTCCGGTGGATGGAACAGGTGGATTATTCTAAATTTTGTCTTCTCAATTGAAGCTAATGTTGCTCGGATCGTGGATTTTTGGGCTCCTTTGATTCTGTTTGATCTTTTTTTTTTTTTTNNNTTTTTTTTTTTTTTTTGGTATTCGGGTCTATCTAATGCGAGTTTAGCTTAAGTTTGTTTAATAAAATGTCATAGAATTCTACGAGGAGTGTTTTGGCATCTGATGGTATTCATGAGTACTAAAAGGGGCATATTTTGGTATGGTGACCTTCTTGACAATTTATGGTCTGTGATTGTTGGCATTTGGATTTGAAGTATGGTGAATCTTGCTTATTTTGAATTTATAGTTAATTGTTAAATATGCGGTAATGGTGTTATCGGCTGGCTGATGAGGAAGAAGCTTTTACTAGTTAATGTCAATTTATTGTAAGAAGTTCTTGATCATATTTATCAGGAAAATATGAACTGGGCTCACTCAAGAGGAACAGAAGAATAAGACTCCATTTTAGAAGATGGGTAGAGATTTATGCTTTGGTACAGAATATAGTTTGTCTAAACATGATGGGTTCTTCCATTTGTTCGTTGTGGTGCTTTCTTAGCTTCTTTATTTTGGATCGTTTATCTTCTTGGTTCTTCCATTCGTTCGTTGTGGTGCTTTCTTAGCTTCTTTATTTGGGATCGTGTATCTTCTTGGTTCTTCCTTTTCTTTCTCTCACTTTCTACATTACGCGTCTTATTTGGGCTATTGCTATGAGGTTGGCAAATAAGGATAACATGCTTGTAAACTGATGAAGTTTCATATACCCTTTGATGTCTGTTTTTTCATTGTTCTTTCTTCTGGTGCGAATTAGTACCTTTAAATATTTGGTATTTGACCCTCTCATGAATAGATTGTCTGAATTGCTAAGTTTTGGTTGGAATGATGCGCAGCTTCTACCTTCATTTCCTTCTATCTTTCATATGAGGTTGTTTCACGCAAACTCGAAAACGTAGTCATTGATGTTTTTGTCTTTAGCTTTGATCAAGTGTGTTAAATTTTAGGTGTTATCAAATTCAATAAAACAATATTTGATTTCTTAATCAAATTGTTTTTATATTTAATTCATTGCTATTGGAAAATGGGGAGTAATTCGATTAACATTGATATCCCCTTCATTCAAGAAAATTAGAAATTAATTTATTTTTTACTTGCTTTTCAAAAAGTAACATAGAATGGAACAATTTTTTATGGTCGTCATTGTACGTTTGGAATGTGATGGAATGAAAAGAGGAGGTAATGTTTAGAATTGCAGTTTTTTTCTGCCTAATAAAGATTTATAGATGACATATGAAACGAGACTGACTCCTATGCTTTTCTTTATGCAGCTCCTTTCTGGTTAGACGTGCATCTTTCGGTTTCGGTTTGGTACTGTGATATGTGTTGGATGAATATTTATTGTAATAATAACTGTAGTGGCTCTCTGCTGCTTTGAAACTCTGCAAATGTTAGAGAGTTTGAAATATCTTGAAGAAATTGTCCCGTGTTTTCATTTTCGTGTTTATTGACACTATTTGATAAATGCTCGTGAAATTTAGTAGTGCTTTTGTTCTCCTGCCTTTTACGGCTTCGCCAATTGATAGCACTGAACATGGACTCAAGGTCTTGTACTTTTCTCTTAAAGGGCTTGTACTTTGTGGATTCTCTATATGTAGTCCCAAGGTCGAATTATCTGTGTGAGCTTTGGTTGGAATAAACTAGGCTTTGCTCGACTGTATGATCTGTTTTGATATTGGGATCCTTTCATCTGGGCAAGATATAATCGACCGCTTTTCAACAAGGACGAATTATCTGTCTGAGCTTTGGTTCAAGTTTGAATTTGACACCAAAAAATTCTTTTCATGTGTGTGCAATTCAAATAAGTTGGGTTATTGAATTTGATCTCGAGTTTGCAGTGCTTGTATTTGCCCATTTGGTTGCATTTCTTTTTTATGCAGCATTGCTACCACTATTTGATTTTATTGAATTTTTTTTAATTTATGATATTTTGATATGGCAACCTGTACAATAAAAAGATTGAATTTAAGAATGAGTCTTTCTTTCAAAGTAACAGAATTATATTAAATTTCAAAACAGTTGTAAGCGATTGTCTTGTGCCAATATAGACACCACCTCTGTAGTTGAAACACAAATTAATACAAAGGTGAAACACCAAGATCAACCTATGGAATCCACCAGTCATATAGACATGGCCACGGGTTGGCTCGACCTGTGGACTGGCCTGTGAACAGGCCCGGAATTGGCCCGCCCTAGTCGGTTTTTGAACCGACCCATAACCCCGTAAGGGCCGATTACGGGTCATGTTGTACCCATATTTGACTCATCGGGCTGGGCCAGTTTCGGGCCCGGGTTTTCTGACGGGTCACGATTATAATTTTTTTTTTTCTATTTTTTCTAGGACCGACGGTTCAATGAACCGACCCTTAGATATAGGCAGGTCGATTACGAGCCTAGGATTTGAGACCTGCCGACCC